TGCTCTCACTTTCTTGCATTAAACACAAGACTTTTATGAAGAGCCAAATTCAAGTCTAATTTAAACAGGTGCGAATTCACAGTAGGTCTATTGACACACACCATAAATTAAATCAGAAACTTGTCCTTAGCTAAATCCTCCCCATGTCTGAATAACTAACTAAAGCATTCACAAAGCTGCACTTCTCATACAGCAATTTCAGTATTTCTTTTACTAATTAAGCATCTTTATCCCTTTAACAGATGCTGTTAAGATGCTGAATCTGGAGAGCAAAGAGCTGAGGTGACTTGCCCAAACGTCACCCATCTGCCCAGCAATCAAAGGGAAAAAACCCAGAGATTTAGGGAGAGTCAAAAGCTCTGTTAAATGGACCACTGCTCCCAAGGCATAAAACAAACACCTAGGGGAATTACATAAGATTAATCTTCCATGTTTCTATGTCATTAAACTCAGCTTTGATCTGTAACCTACCAATTTCTCTACTACTTCTACTTACTAATTTATGGCTAATATTATTATTCTGCATTTCTAGTCTGCTGTTTAAAATCATTGATATTATTAAAATTATCATTCCAAACAGAATCTGATCCCGTACACTGATGTTAAGAAAGAATTTTCCCAATAATTTCCATGGGGAAAAAGGAAACAACTATATTTTTTCATGGCTCTGGCTCCCTCTTGCTTCATTCTTTAAGAGACAAATATGTTATTAAAAAAAAAAAAAAAAAAAAATCCCCTGGCTAGCTCTCAAGCACTCTAAAGCTATATTCCATGACTAGTCTAGTGGTATTTCAGCCTGTACTAACACCCTAATTTCTTGCCTACAAATCTCAAGGAAGCTGTTGTAAACTATAGCCAATGCCTAGTTGTCATAAAATAATGCAGTCAAAGGAATTGAACATGAATCTGGCTCCAAGACAGAGTGTGCATTTCACAGCACGTTCATCCAGTACTGGGGATTTGGTATTCTCTACTGGTTCTCACAACTTAGTAGAGAAAGAGTAACTAATTGCATAAAACCATCTAAGTACGTGTCAGGAATAAGCCAAACAAGTCAGCCTTTAAAGTACTTCAAAACAATCTGATAATCTAAAACAGTTTAAAATTTGTGTTATTGTAGAGACAGCTCAAGTTCTGTACTAGCTCTCAACAGAGACGTAGTAGCTAAAAGAGTAGATGGCTGTGCTAACAAGTCAAATGTGGCTCAAAAATGGATTATGGCATGGCATGAATACATTTGAGGTAAAGTTCATCGCTTCACAGCTGCACAGACATCCTGTAAAGCAAAACATAAGAACTGCATGAACAGTGTAACGGGGAAAGAGCACAGAGATACAAAATGGACTGTAGGCTCCTTTTTGGTACGCTAGCTCGTGTGCGATGCAGAGCCATGTCGCATGATGGAGGTCTGAAGACCGTTCTTTTTGTAGATCAGGGTTGTATCCTCTCCTGGACCGTATATTTACCCCAGAAAAATAAAGAAATAAATAAATTTGCCAGCTCAGTAATCTGGCAGACTAAACCACTGAACTCAATGTTCTGACACGCTGCAATGACAGATACCGTTGTTTCAGTGAATTGAGGGCAAATGCAGTCTTCTTCAATGGAATAAAGTAACTATTTTTGATACTGTTATTCTGTGGTGCTTCTGCCTGAAATTTTCATTCACGTATTATGGAGTAACACTGTTCATGTTTAGATAGAGCTATTTATACTGTACCAGAGATAAGCAATGATCCCAAGAAATTGGTCATTCATTACTGGCAGTTAATATATATTTTCCTTAGCCTCAGGCAAAGCTGAAGGCAGTTTGTGCACTAATAGGTTATTATTAGTTGCCATTAACATTGACAACACTAATTTAAATGGAAATGTTGGTGTTTCACGCAATCTGTTCAATGCTGCCAAAATAACCAGAGTATGTTTAAACAGTGATTATGACAGAGTTGGTGCGTCTATGAAGGAAAATAATCCTCAAATAAATTCTCAAATTGGGCTACTCAGAATACACAATGAAGTATATATCCTGTGTCAGGGAACCTCCAGCTAGAACTTTGACTGAATATGAGAAATTCAAGGAATATCTAAACAATAAAATTTGCAAAAGTATATTTGCTTCAGATCAACGTAAAGCAAAAAAATGTCCTGAAAGCAGGTCTACCAGAGTCCACATAGTTGTCCTAATGTCACCACAAAAAAAAGCTATTCTGCATTTGTAGCAAAATTGTGCTTGTAGAGAAAAAAACCCCAACAACAAAAACCAACTGACCTTTTCAAAATACAGACAATAATAGCAATTAGTTTTCTTAAACAATGCAACAACTGTATCTTCCTCATTAATTTTACTCCAGTTACAAATAGCTGTGCTCACGTGCCATTTGGTCAACCCTTTGAAAGCCAGAATTTCTAAATAACTGTTTTTACAGCAATTAGACAGTATCATGGAAACTAGCATTTCATGAACTTCCAGCCAGAACTGATCTCAATGCGCTCACCCGTTTTCACACTGTAGTGGCTGGCACAAAGCAAGTCTACCTCCACGGCAGGGGCTGACAAGGATAAATGCAACACTTGTGGCTCTCTGATAAAGCCCTTGGCACAAACCACCGCATAGAAACAGAAAGATGGGCCTTGTATTACTTCATTTAAGTAGAGATTTATGAACTTCTGGATTCAGAGTGCTTTGATACTGAGTGCCAACCCAGATGGAAAACACACTGCTCTCTGAATCAGGTATCTCGACTATGAACTTACCTGTGAAGTACTAGATAATTTAAATGAACATAGCTTGAACCATCATTGTCTTCAAATTTATCTACATTAACTTTCAAGACTGTAATTATTATAATGACTCAATGCCACAGGAAGTACCAATACCTGCTCTGTTGACCCTGCCTGGAGACAACTAAAGAGTTCAAATGAGCTTGTGCTCTCAGTTTCTTTCTCTTCCAACTTACTCCTGCCCCCACTTTCCTCTCTGAACTATTTAGTTAAAATTTGTATTCAAGTACCTAAAATACAAATCCCTGATTAAAAATTTGTTATAAAGCTTACAAAGAATCAAATATTAAAGCCACATGCAAAAGGACTACTCTGTTCTACTCTAGATCATGCGGGAAATTAGTTTAAATTGATTAAAATCATTCTCTGAGACAAACATTTAGAAGAAACCACTCCATTCTTTGTTGGTGAAGCACAATGATTATGTGTCCTACCTTAATGACACTTAACCCATGGTTCCTGCAATGTAGAATGATGAAGGTAATAACAGCATTTCCTTTACTACCTACAATAATTTTCATCTATAGCAAGATGACTTATTTAGTGCAACTTGTACAGCTCACAAAACACCACGAATACCCAGCTGCACCACTGCATTCCAGACTGAAATACATAACTTGGTTATATGCTTAATTTGCTTTAATGCATTGGCTTCCCAGCACCTTATAACCTAAATGACCATGTGTATTTCTTAGTCTGAATAGTACAAGTATGCACATTCCTTTCTCAGGTAGCATTCCCTGTAAACCACTGTCACAGTTAAGGGCCAAGCAATTACAGCCAGACCAGATTCAACTCCTTCAGCCACCATGTAAACCCAAATATCTCAGAAAAAACACACAACAAACCCCCAACCCCAACCCAAAAACCTCCTATGCAACAACACTTTAGAGGATGGATCTCACACGGAACGTGGCAGAAGCCAGAAGGCAGGCATCCATTCATCGTCGTGCAAATGGGGTGGCATCTGAAAATTAACTGGTTCTAGCAACACGATACAATGTGATAGTGCAGAACGTTTAATCCTCAAAGGACTATTTAATAAAAACAAACCTTTTTTTTTTTCCTTCTCTCTTAACTCATGCAGATAATTCAATGTCTTTGAACCTATACTGGACATTATCATTGGCATTGACAAACATGCAGATGAAATTATAATTAAATTACCAGCTTCGTGTTTGACAAATTCCAAACACGT